CATTTACTTTATGCAGACGATAAAAAAATATATCTGCGTGTACGCACTATCAAGGACTATGAAATAATTCAAAATGACTTAAATATATTATACCATTACTATGTCGCTAATAAAATTACGGTAAATGTTGGTAAGTGTCAGTGTATTTCATTTACGCGGAAAAATAACCCCATAGTTCTTTCATACAATTTCAATGGTGTTATAATCGAGAGGAATACGGTGGTGCGCGATCTTGGCGTATATTTTAACTCCCGTATGTCAACGAATGAGCATATTGATGCTATTTGCAGTAAAGCGTTTCGTAATTTGGGATTTGTAGCTAGAACTTGTCTTCCTTTCTCTAATTCTCAAAGCCTAAAAGTAGTATATTTCGCATATATAAGATCTACATTAGAGTACGCTTCTCAGATATGGTCGCCATTTTATGCTAAATATGTTCATAAAATCGAAAGGATTCAAAATAAGTTCGTTTCCCAATTAAATTTTAAATTTTGACGTTCTTGCTCTTCATATCGAGACGATTGCAGATTTTATGGTCTGTGCTGAAGAAAGACGTATTCTGCTGGATATGGGGCTTTTATTCGATATATTACACGGAGGAATTGACTGCCCTGACTTATTGGCTTTCATTAAATTTAATATCCCATTGAAACGTACCAGACATACCAGAAACTCTTTGTTTTACATCCCCTTTCACCCGACTAATTATGGGAAAAACATTGTTCTAACGCGCGTTCTAGCAACTTACGACAAAAAATTAAGCGCAATTGATCCTTTTAATAATACTAAAAGTGGATTTAAAAGTAAAATTAACAAGTTTTTATTCTATCCAGCTGAAGGTAATCAGTAAATTGTAATTAAAATAGTACTCGAATTAATATTTGTGCCCTCGTTTAATACTGTTATTATGTATGTATATGTATGTATGTGTGTATGTATTTATTTATGTATATATATATGTGTAATATGTATGTATATGTATTTATATGTGTGTGTATCTGTGTATGCATGTATGTATATATTAGTGTCTCTTTTTTAATTTTTTATCTATTTTCCATAATAACAATAACACCAAAATATATTTGCATTTATAGATTAATATGTGCGTGTTTGGTAGTGTAATTACGTATGTATTTTGTAGGTATATACAACTGTATTTGTATATATATGTACTTCACGAAGGTAATATTAATACTTCAATTAATTTGTTACTGTTTAGTAATAGTTCTTACCGATTTTATTTTGTATTGTATTAGATTTACCTACAGTGTTATGTTTGGTTATCTACTTTGGGGATAACTATAATTGGCTTTTTCATGTTTAATAATTTAAGTTATATTGTTTAAGTATTAATAAGCTGTTGTTATCCAGAATAAATAAATAAATTATTTCGCGCATTTCTTCGCAGAAACTTTTAGCGCCACCTAGCGATGTATTGGTTAAATTAAACAACGTTGTGTCAAGTACAGAAATGCAGATCGTCTTATTTTGGGAATTGTTATGTTATCCATATCCATAATGTGTATACTAATTTTAACAATACACAAAAAGGCCAATAACATCCAGGCTTAGATTTGAAAATGCGACTCGTATTGTAGAGCAGACAGCATAAACCTCCATACCACGAAGTATTTAATTGAGAGTTTGAAATTATGAAGTAATTCTTAATATTTATACTATGTTATGTGGTAATTTCTATTCAGCATTTTTCTCAACCGGCTTTCGTGTTATTGTATCACTATTTTTATAACAGTTTCGTTTTATGTGATTAACACTGTGTTCATATTTTTTCACATTCATTTTTCTTTTTGTTATTTATTATCACTTCTTTGAACTTCTCTAGATTATTTCACTCTCTTTACCAATGGGTAGATATATTTTATTGTTTACTTATCACTAATATTATATATTTACCATTCAAAACGTGTTAAGTCGTTTACTGATGTGTTATCATTTAAGTATCACAAAGTATTTTGTCTTACACTATTTTGTCTTAAGACATGAATACAACAAAGTTCTTTAGTAGATTTAATCACAATTTTTGTAAATCATACACTTATACTTAGTTGCTGCATCTTAGGAGATTTAAAAACTACACTTTCTATGGTACTGCATCATCACACAAATTTCAGATATTATTTTTATAAAAAATTAAAAATAAAATATAAAAAATACGTGTGGCACTCTGTGACTGCCGCGGTAAAGCTATTGCATAGCATTTTTTATCAACTTATGCAATTATAATTATTTATTTATTTCATTTATGCAGTTAAGTCTTTGATATTAAATCAAGTTACACTTTTTGAGCGTGGTGACCGATAAGAAAACAATTTTTTTCTCTTATTGAATAAATGAGAAGTTAATATTGTTTCAAATATTTTTAATATCTTACAATACATGTAGGTATTATTCAGGAATTTTTATCATTGAGTTAGCAGCTAGTGTACACGCACACAAATACCGTGCCGAAGTCTGCCAGTGCCGCGCCGAACTAAAACGACGTTAGACGATGCACGTCTTTCAACGCCACACCTCCGTGCCCATCGGAGTGGGGAGCGTGAGGTTTTTTTCGTTACGGAATTTCTGGATTCGGTCCCCGTGCTCAAGGCCCGCGATAGAAGCTATGCAATAGCTTAAAAAGATTGTCCATTGACTTTAGTAAGCCGCTGTCAGCCTACTGGCCCAGCCGAGCGATTCGATCACTCGTTTTCTGTGTGTTGCATCATTTTTTTAAATATAAATTTATGTTAAAATGGGAAAAGAAACAAGCGAGAAGACTGATGATGAAATTAGATACAAAATATCACGTTCGGAAAAGGAGTAAAGTCTCGACGAAAACCGCCCGAGGATTGCCGTAATAAAGGTTAGTTTGGAAACCTCTTTAAATGATATCTGACTGTATTTTCCTTATTTATAGTTGCTATAACAAGTGATATAAAGATATTATTTTAATAAGTACAGTTTACCAAAAAAAAAAAATTGTTCATAAATAATGTAAATGGGTGATTTTAATTTGAGTACCCACATATTAATTATTTAATTTCAAGTTATTTTATTTACTCAGTGGTGCCACGTGATGTCATCCGGAAATAATTTACTTACTTTCTTAATGTGGTGACACGTGAAGTTACCCAGAAAGTGAGGAGCTAATAATTGGGATGGTTCTATTGTTAATGACTGAAGTATTTATACCAATATTCCATCAGTGATGGCACGTGGTTGGGCAGTTTTTGGGGAAGCAAAAACGTCCGAAGAAAATTTTGGGCAGAAGATCCCTACAGAAGTCGCTGAACGTTGGGGTAAAATCCTAATAGAAGGGTTGACGAAAGAACAGAAAGAGAACTTGCTTACTAAAACACTAATCCCCGAAAATTTTCAACTTGTTGAGGCGTAAAGATTCGAGAAAGAGAGAGAGAAAGACACCGAGGTTGTGTCAGTAGTTATTAAATCGACCAAAAATCGTGACAGGCGTTTAGAAAAGCTGCAAAACCAACTTGTTTGCGGCACTGCCGGTTTAGCACATCTAACGTCAGAGTTAATAAGCAATTACAATTGCAATGAGCAAATACGAAATAGTTAAACAACTATCCGAAATAAATCAAATTCTCCTAGATCACTACGAGGAAACAATGACTCAAAGACGATTAATTATCCTTATAGTCCTGTTCGCCAAGCGGTGCGCACTTTAGATCGTACAATACCTACCTTACGTTCGCTCCAGAAGAGCACTAATTAGATCAGAATTATGTAAAATTGTGTACCTATGAAAAAACTATTTTTTCGTTTTAAACAAAACCAAAGACACTATGCAATAGATAATAGTATCAAAGACAAAGATATGCTCTTTTATTTTAAACCATAACCTGGCAATGTTTCTTAGAAAAAAAAAAAGAAATCACTCTGAACTTTCGGCGTTCCACGTGTCGCTTTGATGACTGGTGCTCCGTCTTTTTTATAGAATTTTATATTTGTGTCTGGACTAAAAACGAAAGTATTATACTTTTTTTATATTCCTTGTAATATAGTGAACACGTAGATATATAATTGGTATAAAAAGTGAAAAGTAAATTTCCAAAAGTACTTCAAAATCCGGAAGGCCCATTTTGGCGGTTGGGTCATAAATGTGTTATTTTTCAAATTCTCATTTATTTTTAGTGTAAAATGTAAGTAAAAATAGTTTTCTTACATATTTTAAATAACTTAACGTTGTATTTATTTCAAATTCACACAAAACTATTTTTGAAATATTGTTCGAAATGTCATACAGATAAAACATTATTATTTTTTTTTATGTATGAGTAACGAATAGAAACACATAAAACATAAAAATATACATATTTCCAAACATTTTCATATAAATTTCTCCAAAAACAAAAGTGTAGAATTCAAATTAGTAGTAATTTTGTCACTAAAATTGAAGTATATACTACTACTATGCTATACAGGGTAATTTATGTATTTTATTACAATTTCTAGCAACCAAAAATAATTTTATTCGATATTTTATACATTCAACAAGAAATCCTATAAGTTTTATCCATAAATATTGTCTCAAAGTGAAAATATAGCAAAATTTGCAATATAGCAAAAAATTTTCTAACTTACAAATTTTCCCGCCATTAAGGTCCCGAGCGAACGGGAGTATAACATGTCGCACGCTGTCAGAGCGTACCAGATACACAAAAGCTTTATTAATGTAATTCAAGGCATTGAAATTTTCTCTTCGATGGCAATTTAAGCGAAAGCATCAAAACCAACCAAGTCAATAGAAAAATCTAGCCTGCAGATCCAAAAATCACAATTGTCTTTTCCTAGAAAACTCATGGTCACAGGTGTGCAGGGAGCAGCGCGTGCAGACCGCGCGCAGGCTCGGTTCTACCTTCCACAGTAGCACGCCGCCCGTAGGCAACCGCCAGCGGTACGGCGGCCCCCGCCAACCGAGCGGGTAGGGAGCGGCACGTGCAACCTGCGTTCAGGCTCGGTTCTACCCTCCACTTCAGCAACCCACCGCCCGCAGGCAGATGCCAGCGGCACGGCGCCCACCGCAGACCAACTGGCTGCCGAACTATCACAACCGCCGCTAAAGGTACCACACGCTGGTCGTATTCAATATCTACTTTTTACACAATTGGTTAAACGTAACAATGGATCCTCATATATTGAATATAGTAAAGGGCTATTCGTTAATATTCGCTCGAACCTAACTATACTGCAAAATCATTTTAAAATAGACATTCGCACATGTTCAAAATTATTATCTGAAGATTCATTCATGGCAACAATTGATCTTAAAGAAGCTTAATTTTTGGTTCTTGTCCATAAATCCTCTAGAAAGTACTTAAGATTTCGTTTCAATAGTACATTGTATGAATTTACTTGCCTCCCGTTCTGCTTTCATTTTTACGAAATTGATGAAGCCGGTTTTGACAGTATTAAGCCGTAAAGGCCAAAAATTAGCAGCATCTTTAGATGACCTCTGGATCACGATAGACGACTTTAACTCGCGTTTAAATTCAATAACGGAAGTTATTCATTCTCTAGAACAATTGTAGATTATGTGATAAATTATGATAAAATTGTTCTCATACCTAGTAAGATAGGTAAATTTCTTGGATTTTTACTGAATTCACAACATATGACCTTAAAATTACCATAAGAAAACGTTGTAAATCAATAAAATGATTAAGAATATGTCTTATAAACCGGAAGTGAAGATAAGAGATTTTGCTTATTTTATAGGTACTCTAACAGCTGCATGCCCAGCCGTAGCGTAGGTGACAGCTGGATATATACTAAGTGCTTTGAGAGGGTTAAAATATCTTGCTCTCTTGAAAGACAAAGATTATGATGCAAAAATGAAAGTCAACACTTTGTTAAAAGATGTTTTTATTGTGGTGGGAAACAAAAATAAATTATGCAAACAATTCTATAGAACAAGTCATTTTCAACTAGAAATTTTCTCCGAGGACTCACTTACAGGGTGGGGAATATTCTGCAACGGAGAAACTGTAAACGGATATTAGTCAGAGAAAGAAAAGGAAAAACATATACATAACTATTTAGAACTTGTAGCAGCCTTTATGGGACTAAAGTGCTTTTGTTACAATACTACCAAATCTGATGTTTTGTTAAGAATTGATAACACCACTGCTGTATCTTACATTAACAGGATAGGTGGAATACAGTTTCTACACTTAAACGATGTAACTTTAGGGATATGGCAGTGGTGCTAACGAAGAAAGCTTTTCATGTTTGCGTCATATATAAAATTTCGGGACAATACTGAAGCTGATAAAGCCTTAAGGTATTCGAAAGGCGACCGGCATATTAATAGCACGTTATTGGCCAAACCAAACACGCTGCCCGCTATATATGTCTTTGACCATTTCTAATCTATTATATTATGGTCCTGATAAAAACATCTTAATTTCTCCTTCCAGGATTGTTCATCCTTTGTGGCCCAGCCTTACTCTGGTGTGCGCAACGTTATCTGGGAAGCGTTTGCCAGACAGTCTTTAGATAATGATACTACTGACACAATGATTCAGCTGTTATCTAATTACACAATGCGGCAATATAATACAAATTATGGTTTTCGTTTTGTAATGACAATAACTTAGATTTTTTTAATGTTTAAGTAAATACATTTATAAAATTTGTTACAAAATATTTTAAATGTGGTGCTAAATATAACACGTTAAATTCTTTTCTATCAGCTTTGTCAATTATACTAAACGCAAAAATTATGTATTATATATTAATGTTATATATATATATATATATATATATATATATATATATATATATATATATATATATATATATATATATATATATATATATAATATATATTAATGTTAACTACTAAAAACCTTTCAGAAATGCTAGTGCCCAATCTTTAAGCCACCGTATTAAATAAATCATTAAGGATAGCGGCATTGACGTTAGCGCTTATTCATCACACTGTACGCGGCACACATCGACATCGCCAGCGAAGCGCGCCGGTTTCTCCATAGATGTCATAAAGCGTATGGCTGGTTGGTCCGACTCCTCTCTTTGCTTCGTTAAGTTCTATAACTTACCGTTAATAGATGGCCAACAAGATAGAGCTTTCGCTGTTGCAGTAATTAATAGGGATGAATGATTTAAATTTAAATTTAATTAAAATTAATATATTTAAAATGTTACTCAGTTTTGCACAGGATTTACTCCTTTATCGAATCTATTTTTAATTTTCTCCGACACGTTATTATCATGCGAATCAGTGTTTTTGAAACAAATTGCATCTAGCAACGCTTGCAACAAAAATTGGTCAACGACTGTGACGTCAAAAGAGATGTGTAGACATTTATAGGTGTGAATTGACATGTTAGTGGCTACACGGGCACCGAACACTCTCCCGTTCTATTGTGTATATAGGTATGATAATATTCCACGATAACGATCTATATTAAGGGAAATAAATTTAATAACCAAATTAATTCGTATTCATGCATTACATTATTAAAATTTAAACCGTTCACACCGGTTACAATGCCCATGCCTCTTATAAAAATTAAATGAATAATGGATCACTGTTTAATTCAGAATGGTTGTTACAACGCACCGTTTAGTATTAGAATGTCTATTTCCATGGTCGTATTAAGTTTCATAAAATTTATTTAGCAGTAGTGACTTAAGAGTTATAACAATCTTGTAAATTATTTAAACTCAAAAAAGGTATATTATATAATATCAAAAAAGTGAATAATGGCGGAATTAATTAGAAAATTGTGGCGGGGATACATATTTTTATTTGAGGAACTACCAGGTTTGTTTAACTTTTATTACGAGCTAGTAATACAAATCCTGTGAGTTTTATAGTCCCATGCTTATTAAATTACCGTGTATTATTGGCGTAAAATTAATTCTAGACCAGTGAATGTCGTAAGTGGTGACAAAGGCAATAGAAACAGGAGATGGGACTCTTATTTTATAGAAGAGGCGGCAAACGAGCATGCGGCTCACCTCACGAATTGAAGGTGCGTTGCCGGTCTTTTAGAAAGAATTAAGCTCTTTTCCTGAAAGTCCCTAAGTCGCATCAGTTTATAAAAATTGCCGGTGGTAAATAATTCCACAGATAATTTGTACGAAGAACAAACTCCTAGTAAAATGCACAATGATGGACTGCCATGCATCTATATGGTGAGTATCGCCAGTGAATCGAGCCAATCAGAAAGAACTCGTTCGTCGACTATTCGAACCGCTATTCACTAGATGTGGTCAAGTGGAAAGAGCCGGTACTGGTGTGCCCCGACCTAGAGATAAGAACAGTATCCCATGTGAGGCCGAAGTTCAGCTTTGTTAAGATGCAAACGATGTTTTGGCATGAAATACTGTATTGCTCTGCTGAGCACGCCAAGCTTTTAAGAGGTCAATTTTTCCTTCACTTCTATGTGACCACGTAACTACACACTATTCGATAGGCCAACGCCGAGGATTCCGATGCTAGATGAGGCAGCAAGAGCAGTGCCTTAAACAGAGGTGATACGACAAAGGGGTTCGTGTTAGCAGTAAACGCGCAAACTTGTGTCTTCTGGGAATTGAACTAGACTAGATTTAATCGCCCCCAGTCCGAGACTTTGTTCCAAAAAGTCTCGAATTCATTCAATTCAGACACAAGTTAGTCCCAGTACTCGGCGACGTTTTCACGAGGAATATTGGCACGGCCGGTATATAAGGTATCGCTAGTGCTGTCGTCTAGCAATGAATTTTACCAGTTAGCAATATAACAGTGGAAGAGCCAAGCAACAGCCTTTGCTGTTGCACGTATAGGCCAGCTCAAACCGCGGTGGTACCATAACCTCACAGAAGACCGGCGTGAAGTAGAATCTTTGCTTCTGCATTTCGTCTGCTACCCCAGGAGGCTACCAGCACCCCCGGTGACGGAGAATTCCTCGCTGAGCATCCACGCCCAAACTCCCCTACTCTTCCTGAGCGTGGGTGCTAAGGCTGCCCCTCGTATTATGGGGGGTGGGGGGTGAAATTCGCTCGAGACTAAACCTTGACGAAACCTGCTCCAGGCAAACGGAGCAATAAGTCAAAGGCGCCCCCTGCCACGCTATCTGTGGATTACTGCAACATCAGGTTACTTCATTCAAACCTTAACGCTTACCAACGGTGAGCCAGCCTTGCTCTTTCTAACCGAGACACAGGTGTCCTCTACCGCTGGCACTTCATATCTCTCCTACACAGGATACAGATTAGAACACTCTTTTGTGCCCCGGGCTAAGGTTTGCGTGTACATCAGAGAGGACATCTGTTTTCGATGCCTCAGCAGCCTTGAAGGTACACACCTGCCCATCTTATGGCTACGCGTAGACAGCGACTACTATCCCCGCGTCTATGGGTGCCTCTATAGGTACCATAACGGTAATGCCAACACAGACCGACTGATCGACCACGTCCAAATGGCTGCAGACTCCGTGCTACAACAGGTTCCATCCGCAGAGATCATGATACTTGGTGATTTTAACGCCCACAATGCTGAATGGCTTGGTTCTCGTTTAACCAATCATGCGGGTAGATCTGTTTATGACTTTGCTTTGGCATATGGTCTGACGCTACTGGTTTCCTCGCCTACGCGGATCCCAGATGTGGAAGATCATGTACCTTCCGTATTGGACCTTCTGCTGACCTCTCATCTGGGCGAATATCAGGTCTCCGTTGATACTGGTCTTGGCTACTCGGACCATTGTCTGATCCGGAGTACGGTGCGGAGAGCGGTACTCACGCTCCCATCGCGGTTGCGTACTGCAGGTTGCCCCCAGGTACATCCCAGCGTTGTTGGATGTGGTGGTACAGGGATTCTGTCACTGATGTGGTGGTACAGGGTATGTAACTACTTATTCCATCATCTGTGGTACCTATCGGAGGCAGAACACAGTCTTGCTTTGTTCGCTCCTGCTAAATTGCATTACATTATAAGCAGGAGTGTTACCAGACCTGGGCTTGCGCATCGCTGTCTCGGGATGTAAATACCAGCGTTCTCAAAAATAAGTATAATTCTGCTTCCAGGTCCTTCAAGTGTCATTGTCAAGGCAAAGTCAGAGCACATCGGCAGAATTGGTGAGAGACTTGTTCGTCTTCCTTCGGGAACACGTGCATTCTGGTCTCTCGCCAAGGCTGTCCAAGGGAACTTCTGCCAGCCATCTCTTCCATCTCTGCACAGGGAAGATGACTCACTGGCTCATGTCGCAAAGAACAAAGCCGATCTACTGGGCTCTCTCTTTGCGTCCAACTCGACTCTTGATGACGGGAAGAGCAAACCGCCGACCATCCCGCAGTGGGAGTGCTCCATGCAGAATATGCTGTTTACCCAACGATCGGTGCACAGTGCACTTCTCTCTCTGGACATCAACTAGTAGATAGAGCCTGATGGCGTCCCTCCTATTGTACTGAAGACGTATGCTCCGGAGTTGGCACCGGTCTTAACACGTCTTTTCCGGTACTCCTTTTCCCTAGGTCGTAGTCCCGAAATCATGGAGGACAGCCTGCATGCACCCGATACCTAAAAAAGGTAACCGCTCTGATCCGTCCAACTATAGGCCTATCGCCATCACCTTCTTGTTCTCCAAAATAATAGAATCCATTATAAACTGCCAGCTCATGCGGTACCTTGGGGATCACCAGTTGATTAGTGACCGCCAATACGGTTTTCGTTAGGGTCGAGAGGTAGTAGGGTCCAAGAGGGAGACATTGGCCGTTAGTTTGGACATTGCGAAGTCCTTCGATCAAGTTTGACACAAACCACTTCTTTCCCTTCTTAAGGCTACTCGTGAAATTGTGCAATTAGATCACCAATTTTCTTGCAGATTGAAGCTTCAAGATCGTTGTAGATGATATATGCTCCGATTACAAGTCTATTAATGGTGGCGTTCTACAAGGTTGTTGCTATTACCAACGCCGTTTCTTCTGTATATCAATCATATGTTACAAATAGGTAACATTCATTGCTATGTGGATGACAACAATGGTAATGCTCTGTACACCGGCCGTGCCAATATTTCTCGAGAAAGCGTTTCCTGGTACCAGGACAAAGTTATGTCTGAAATCGAGTCTTTGCTGAACAAAGTCTCGGATTGTGGGTGAAAAAATCCAGTCCAGTTTAAGCCTCAGAAGTCACAAGTTTGCACATTTACCACTAAAAAGAACCCCTTTGTCGCATCTTCTCAGTTTCAAGGCATTCGTCTTGTTGCCTCAGGCATTATCGGAATCCTCGGCGTCAACATATCGAATAGTTTGTACTTTCTTGGTCACTTGGAAGAGAAGTGCAAATTGGCCTCTAAAAATCCTGGCGTGCTTATCAGAGAGGGACAGTGGGACAAGCTTTACTTTTCAATATAGAAATAATTTAAAAAAAAAACCCCTCCCCACCCCCTCTCTTAAAAAAACATTTCTTTGTTTATTATATTTTATACATTAGGAATATTAATGTCAAAACTATTAAAATCCGTTTAACAGTTTTTTGTTCTAGGTAAACAATAAACAGGTGATGAATATGATATGATAATAAAGTCAACTCAAATACCACTCGCGCCACCGCGGCAATAGCGGTGACCGTTATTGCGCATAATTGACCGTTTGCGCATTATTGCGTATAATTTACTGTGCGTATCTTTCGCATGGCCTGATTGGCACGTCAGTTGCATTCCATCCCCCGTAGAAGTACGGGGGATGGAATGCGACTGACGACATTCGCAACTATCTCCTGCACGTTTCGTTCAGCGCTAGAGTTACGTGCCTCTAGTTTTAACACTAGCTTTATCAGCTTATCGATTAGGGGAAAATGTTTCAAGTAATATATGCCATTTGGCGCATTCTTGGAAGGGCTGTGAATAAGAGTTAACTTCAAAAGAGGGGTTAAGGTCGTCGAATTATTCAAGTGATATTATTATTATTATTATTGTAATTTTGTTCCTTCTAAAACTTCAGTAAAAGGATATCAATAAAATACCGAATATTATTTTCCCTTATAAACAGTTTTAGAAATTCCCAATTTTTTCCATCTTAAAATAAACACTGTAATAACAAGGAATATTTATTTATTTTATTGTTAATATTAAAATAAAAACTCTACGTCCACGTTTAAGCGTCGGCAATTAAAAATAAGTATAATTGAACGCGGTAAAATCCGTAAAACTTGTTTTATTCGATGTGTAGTGTTTGCGTAAATATAAAAAACCGTTATTAAAACTCTCTTTGTAACGGATTCGCTTAAACTTTCAGATCCTCGGATGAAACCGCTATTTTTGGTTGCAAAACCGTACCAAGTTTTAACAGTGATCGGTTTATATTTGATGTTTGTATTTAAATGGGGACCAAAATGGATGAAGAAACGTACTTCTTTGAATTTGGATAAAATATTGATAATCTACAATGCCTCTCAAGTACTAGCCTGTTCATATTTATTTATAAATGTAAGTTGTTTAATTTTTTTTTCTTGTCTTATTTATTAATGTAGGTTTTGTAATGTATGTTTGTTGTTCCCATGAGGAGCGTACTTTTATATTTTCTTTTTTTCTTTTATAGGACAGGGTGACAAGCGAGCACACAGTCCACCTGGTAAGTGGTTGCTGTGGGCCATAGACACCTACATGTATCCTCGATTACGAATCAAAATGCAGATGCGTTGTCACTCGTGAGGACTAAGATGGAATGCCTCTTTTCCAGTAAAAAGCATCTCCGGTTCTCTACACTCATCATACGAAACATAGCAGCGTTACGCTACTATTTTACGCTGGTCTTCTGTGAAAGCGTGATCCTTCCTCGGCCGAGCCGACCCATTCGTACTACAACTATACTACTAATATGACTGCAGCATAGCTATATCACGTATAAGTACTTCTTAATGAAGCTCTGAAAACACGCTTCAGTTTTACATGAAAATATTTTAACTAATATTTTACTCGCAAATATACGTATAAAAATTATATGCAAATTATCGATTTTAACATTTATGACATTTTTTAGATTCTACTAAAAATTACTAAGCGAGCATAATTTTTTTAAAGAAAATGTTTAATATCTATATACAAATAAAAATAGATTTTAATTTTAATTTGAGTTCTTTAAAAAAAGTAGCAAAGTGAGTGAACTTTTGACCCGAATACAAGGTTCCTCTGTGATCATAATACGTGCCTAATATTTAAGTATTTGTATGATTGTGTTTTACATTTGCAGTCGATAAAATTGGCTTGGGGCTGGGACTACAAATGGGTCTGTGAGCCCATTGATTATTCCGAAAACCATAAAGCAATCAAAATAGCTTACCTGGTTTATGCTTATTATTTATTAAAGATCGTTGACCTCGCAGACACTGTAAGTAAACACATTATTCTAAAAACTTCCTTAAAATACCAAACAATGATAGACCTTTAACATTACTTCGTTAGTTATAAATTTAAAAGATTCATTTACATTCATTATCATCATTAGATCCCTTAGTAGTTCAGTTATGCGGTTAAAATTTATTATTGTTTCTATTTCTGTACGGCTTATTTTAAGAAGAAATTGATTTGTGCTTGATATTGCGCTTTATTAGCGATTAGACACCTAGACTACTTTACTAGGACCCCTGAGGACTAGGATGGAATGCCTCGTTTTCAGTAAAAAGAGTCTCCTGTTCGCTACACTATATATACGCTGGTATTCCGTGAGAGTTTGGTCCTATCACGTATAAAAGTTCGTAGTATGAACTTATAGTATCTTGAAGTCTTGCTGTTGTATGCTTGGGTTAGCTATACCATAATATAACTGCAGCGTGGCTCTACCACGTATAAATGAAGTAAGTAGTGTAAATGTGAAGATAGACTGTTTTAAGCCACTACCATAAAATAAAATGTTCTTTTTAACTTTTTTCTAGATATTTTTTGTATTAAGGAAAAAAGTTAATCAAGTTTCATTCCTTCACGTGTATCATCACACCGGTATGGTCATATTAACATGGGGTGGTGCAACGTACTTTCCAGGTAAACAAAATGTTATAAAGTTTACTTTAATATTTAATTATTATGGATTTTGGATTGTATTTTGTAAGTATTGCTTATTTTGCTTTTAGAATTTATTTTCATATTTGTTGCAAAGCGCACGCTGCCATTACGACCTGGTGGTGATAAACCCATCTGAAATTGCCGAACTCAAGCAAACTTTACCACGGCGATGGTATCAGCATTTTACATACCATACTGTCAGCCTAGCATGAATGGTATCGGCAATCCTTTCAAAAAGTGCATGCCAACAAACATTTCTAAAAGTAGAATATTTAAATAGGCTGAAGAAGAAACATAATTAAATAATTCTTTCCTTCTTCTTTATGTCTAGAACAGGTAAATGAAATTGTATACTTGGGGAGTGCTTTCAGCTGGGATGGAAGATGTGATTTAGATGTGGATAGGCGTGTCGCTGCCGGAAACAAAGTCAATGGTGCCCTGAATGCATTAGTAAAAAGGCAAGGCGTGGTGAAGAGTGCATGCCTTGCAATACATAATACAGTGTTGGTACCGACTTTGTTATACGGCAGCGAAACCTGGGTATGCCAGAAGAAGCATAAAAGCAAGTTGAATGCAGTGGAGATGCGATCTCTTCGTAAAATGTGTGGCGTTACCTTAGCCGACCGAAAGCGAAACGAAGAGATTCGCAATATGGCAGGATTGAAAGATGACCTTATCACAAAAATTGATAGGGGCGTACTCCAATGGTTTGGGCACGTTGAACGAATGAGTGAAGACCGAATGGTGAAGAAAATATATAGAGCGAAAGTAAATATTAAAAGGTGTCGAGGTAGACCGAGACTAACTTTCGAAGACCATGTGAGCAAATTGCTCGAAGAGGGGAGGGTCAAGAGTACTCGATACCTAGACGTGCATGTATGAAGAAGTTAATGAACCTGAAAGAAGCGAAAGAGGTATGTAAGGATCGTGACACTTGGCGATCTGTTCTCTCTGGCTACCCCGTTAGGGATTGTGCGTGAAGATAAGTAAGTAAGTAAGTAAGTTCTTCTTTATTTATTAGACTAGGTCACCTACTGATGTTGATTTGCCTCAATTGCCGTGTACGGTAGGTTGATTGGTGATCGCAGTTTAAAGACATCTCGCATCATAGGATCAATCATAGCTAAGCCAAGCCAATATCTAGCTTCAGCAATGAAATCATTCAGGCAATTCCCGAAGTCACTTCTCACGAAACCGCATGTTTAGAAATATTTTTTTATATAATCAGGGTGATAAAGGAGCACACAGACAATCTGATGATAATTGGATGCGATTGTCCATAGATATTAACATCAATGCTCGATTAAGAATCAAAGTGCAGATGTGTTGTCACCCTGAGGATTTAAATGTTATGTCCCGTTTCCAATAAAACGGGTTGTCAGTTTTCTACACTCATCATACGAAACACAGCAGCATTAAGTTGCTGTTTTTGGAATTATGTTAGAGTGTGGTCTTTCCCCGCTCCAGTCGTGCCATTCGTGACACATATGACATTATAGCTATACACGTAAAACTTAGTTTAATAATAATACTAATGTCTTCAGACCAAATTTCGGTCACGGCGGCCTGTCACAACAGAGACTAGCCATCGGCGCAGTATAGGATTATAGAGCCCAAGTGTATGCGCAAGCATAGTTGCACTCTCTATTCCCTCACTCTGTTAATCCGATGCGAGAGAAATCAGGCACAGGTCCAAGGGCTTTACGTAGGGGTGCGAAGTCAGAAGTCCTCCACGTGTGCCTGGTAGTTGCGATTCCCTCTCGATACGTCTGGAGGGAAGAGCAGCAACTGGGCCGGTGCACCCTGGGCGCGGCGGTAATCTTCCTCGAGAAATGAGAAGAAATTCTTATTCCTTGGGGAATGTTGCTGCCGCGGCTAATTATTCTGACATAGGGGGGGTCCGTCCCGGACCAACAGTGCGTTCCTCTGCGTGACCCTCTGATCAGCAGAGGGCATAGCAGAGGAGCGAGGGCGGGCTCGGTGTGCACTTACCCTGCCTCCGGGCAGACAGTGAAGGATTCATCCTTTGCTGTCACCGCCGGTCTCGTAATCCCAGTATCGAAGTGTCGTGGATCATGTCTCGCGGCTTTGATAAGGACCGAGGGTCTTGGCATAATCGCCCGGACCGCGAGGGAGAAAACCTCTATAAAAAGTTACCCCGAATCCCAAGCGGCGACGCACCGCGAGGGGATGGATGGCTGACGGGGTTCTATGAACAAATCAGCCGCAAGTGCGGTCCTCGCCAGGGTACCTGCAGACCCCCCTGGCGAGTAATAAATCCTCTAAATCTGCTTACCTTGGTAAAGGGGTCTCTGCCAAGGTGGACGTTTAATTCCCCCCATAATCGTGGGTACAAATACGGAAAAAAAAACAAAGAAACAATCAAAACCGCCGGCAACGGCAACGTAGAGGAGAGGAGGAACGATGCGGGGACAGAGTCCGACGCCGCATCGAGCAGCGTGGGAGGCCCAGAGAGCTCCCGACGTGTGGGGCCTGGGACCGCGGAGAACAGTAAGTTCTTCCGCAAGCGGTCCAGGCGGGATGGCGACCAGGGGCCATCATCTGGTGAAGACGAGGTCTCGGCCCGGAAAATCCCCACCAACGGGCGGGGCGGGCTGAGAGGCAAGGGGAATGCCAATCAGAGGGCCGAACGAGCGGCAAAGCTTGCCGAGGAGGGGCGCCACCCGGGCGATACGGTATCAGGCGAAGAGACGAGTGCGACTGGCGGCTCCGAGGTGGAGCGTAAGGCCAGATTCGTAAATGAGGTGGAGGCCGCGATCAAGGTCGTGGCCAACAAGCAAAAGCCCGCCTCGAAGTTTAAGGCCATTCCCGGGGCCTTCGCCTCCATCATGGCGGCTGCGGAGGCCAACTTTGCTGGCGCCGGGCCTAATGCGGACGAGGTGGCAAAGCTGCGGGCGGACGTGGCCCGCCTGACGTCCGCCATGGAGACTCTCCAGAAGGAGAACGAGAAGCTCCGCGCAGACCTGGCCAGTCTACGTGAGCCTGCCTCTCGCGCGGCGCCCCAGACGCAGTGCCCAAGCCGGCCCGTGCCGGTGGAGAACCAGGTTCTGAACCTGGTACGGCAGGAGCTGGCTGCCTTCCAGCACCGGTTCTCCGTGCTGGAGGGCATCGTCCTGCGCCCCCCCCCTAGGGGCAAACAAGACGGCAGCGAGGCCGGCAACGGTCTCGTACGCGGCGGCCACGGCTGCCGTATCCAGGCCGGGGCCGTCTAGCCAGCCAACGGGCGGGGCCGCAGTTGCCCCTCCCCCCTGTAAAGCCGGCTCTGGCAAATCCGGTACCGGCTGAACGGGCTCCGGCTAAGCCGGCGACGGGAAAGGGAGGCAAGACGAAGGCGAGAAAGGGCAAGGCGGCAGCACAGGTGGTGGCTGCACCAGCCCCAGTGCCTGCGGCGAATGTGCCAGCGCCAGCGGCAAGCCAGCTGCCGCCGCCGTCACTGCCCCCCCAGCTCCCTACACCTCCCGCGGCTGAAGCCAGTTGGCAGGTGGTCGGGAACAAGAAGAAGGGTAAGAAGGCAGCCAAAAAGGCCAAAGAGCAGGAGCGGCAGCGCCAGTTCAGGGCGCGCAAGATCGCGGCTAGGCTCCGCGCCCCGAAGACCGCAGCTGTAGTGATTACACTACAGCCGGACGCGGAAAAAAGGGCGTTACCTACCGCGATCTGCTCGCGAAGTCGAAGGAGGCGGTGGATCTCGGGGAGCTCGGGATCACCGGGGGCCTCCGGCTCAAAGTCACCCAGACGGGGGCCCGTATGCTAGAGGTCCCCGGGGAATCCAGTGGCGCGACCGCGGACGCTCTGGCTGCGAAGCTCAGAGCGTCTCTGGACGCGGAAGAGGCCCGGGCACCGTCCGTCCAGGCCCGTCAGATGCGCAGACCTGCGCATCATGGGTCTGGACGACTCGGTATCGGAGGAGGAGTTGGTGGCCGCCGTCGCCAGGTCCGGGGGGTGCACTACTGACCAGGTCAGGTCAGGCGCCATACGCCCGGACCAACAGGGCATGCATGCCGCCACGGTGTGCTGCCCTGTTACGGCGGCCAAAACCATAGTGGAGGGCCGAAGGCTGCTGGTGGGCTGGGTCTCAGCGCAGGTTAAGCTGCTGGAGCCCAGACCTCTGAGGTGCTATCGCTGTCTCGTGGGGCAACACGTATCAGTGAGATGCGCCTCGGAGGTTGACCTGCGTGCCACCCGCCAAGGCCAAGGCCGCGGGTAGGGTAGGGGCCAAAGCCGCCACCGCCTCTGTGGCCTCCGCCGCAGCCACAACTGCCACCGCCACCGCTGTCACTGTCGCCGCCGCCGCCGCCGCGACACCGACGCCCGCAGAGGGGCCCCCCGTGGAGGAAGCTGAAATGGAATGCCTATAACGGCCCCATTAAGCTTCCTCCAGGCGAATATCAACCACTGCGCCTGCGCTCAGGATCTGTTGCTCCAGAGCATGGCGCAGTGGTCGATTAACATCGCTGTGGTCGCTGAGCCGTATTTTGTCTGGCCTAAGGGAGGACTGGGTGGCGGACCTTAACGGCTCAGTGGCCATCATCTCTTCGGCCGCCGCCGGTACCCCGACCCTTGAAGGTGTCAGAAGGGGTCAGGGGTGCGTAGCAGCACGGTTCGGGGAGTTCGTCGTTGTGGGGGTGTACTTCTCCCCGAACCGATCTCTCGCCGAGCTCCACAACTCTCTTGCAGAGCTGAGAGCAGTCGTCGTCGGAAGTTATCCCCTCCCCGTACTTGTCCTCGGGGACTTCAATGCCAAGAACTTGGCTTGGGGTTCTCGTCGTACAGATGTGCGGGGTAGGATGGTGGAAGACTGGGCTCTGGAGACAGGCCTGGTCGTCCTAAATCGGGGTTCTGTCCCCACGTGTGTGCGGATGCGGGGCGAGTCGGTGGTGGACATCTCGTTCGCTAGCCCCGCTCTGTCGCCGCGTGCCATTGACTGGCGTGTCATGGAGGGGGTGGAGACCTACTCCGACCACCGGTACATCCGGTTTGATGTCTCCACCCAGCCCTCGAGCGCGCCAGTTCAACAGGCCCCGAGTGGTCCGCGTTGGGCGCTGAAGCAGCTGGACCGGGAGCTCCTCCTGGAAGCCTCGATCGTGCAGGCCTGGGTGTCATCACCGGACAGGCCTGCCGACGTCAATGATGAGGCAGGGTGGTTCCAGGAGGCCATGTCCGAGATATGTGACGTGGCAATGCCCCGCGTCCGGCCAGGAAGCGCCCGGCGTTAGGTGTATTGGTGGTCGCGTGAGCTGACGTCTCTGCGCGAGGCGTGTGTCGCCGCGCGGCACCTGTACACCAGGCATCGCAGGCTCCGCATTCGTCCACCGAATGCGGCAGCCATTGAGGCGGAGCTGTACGAGGGATACAGAGCGGCGAAGAACGCCCTCCGGGAGGCTGTCCTGCGGGCCCGGGATCGGGCCCGTGAGGAGATGCTGGAGACTCTCAACAGAGATCCGTGGGGGGCGCCCTTACAAGATGGTGCGGGATAAACTCCGCACCTGGGCCCCCCGCTGACGCAAAGTCTCCGGCCCCAGCTCGTGGAGGACGTGGTGAGCGCTCTGTTCCCTGCGCGACGGGAACATCCGCCCCCGCCTATGGCTCCGCCACCTGCGGTGCCGGAAGCGGACCACCAGGACGACGACGACGACATCCCGGAAGGGACCGGGGTAGACCTGAGAGTGGCGGTACGTAGGCTCAAGGCCAGGAATACCGCCCCAGGACCCGATGGCTTGCCTGGCAAAGCCTGGGTCCTGGCCTCGGAGGCTCTCGGGCCCCGACTGGAGGGGCTCCTAAGCGCATGCTTGGAGAGAGGCCAATTCCCGCTTCGTTGGAAGACGGGGAAGCTGGTCCTCATTCGGAAGCCGGGGCGCCCTGCGGACTCTCCGTCCGCATACCGGCCCGTGGTGCTGCTCGACGAGGTGGGCAAGCTCTTTGAAAGAGTCATTGAAAACCGCCTCGCCGAGCACCTTGCGGGGACGGGGCCGGATCTTGCGGAACACCAGTTTGGTTTCCGCAAGAGGCGCTCTACGGTGGAAGCCATCATGCGCGTGAAAGCCCTCACGACGGGGGATGCAGTGGCCAGAGGGGGGTTGTCTTGGCGGTGTCTCTCGACATCGCCAACGCCTTCAACTCCATGCCCTGGAGCTGCATTAGGGAGGCACTCCGGTATCACCGGGTGCCGACCTATCTCCGTCGTATAGTCGGGGACTATCTGACGGACAGGGCCGTCATCTACCCCGGTCGCAACGGTGAGTGGAACCGGCGAGAGATGTCGTGCGGTGTCCCACAGGGTTCGGTTCTGGGGCCACCTCTGTGGAACATCGGTTATGACTGGGTGCTGCGCGCCGACCTCCCTACCGGCGTCAGCGTAATTTGCTACGCTGACGACACGCTGGTACTGGCACAAGGGGGGTCGTACGAGGCGGCGGCGGAAACTATGACACCGCGGGGTTGCGATAGTCGTTGAGAGGATTCGGCAACTGGGTCTCGAGGTGGCTCTGCACAAGTCCGAGGCCATGCACTTCCATGGTCCTCGGAACAGGCCACCACCGGGATCCTCGGTAATGGTAGGAGGGGTATCCATCGGCGTCGAGTCGACGCTGAAGTACCTAGGACTCGTCCTCGACGGCCGATGGAACTTCGTTGAGCACTTCCGACGTTTGGCTCCCAAACTGGAACGGACCGGGGCTGCCTTCAGGCGACTCCTGCCGAACCTGGGGGGGCCAAACGCCTCCTGCCGGAGGCTCTACGCGGGGATCGTGCGATCCATGGCCCTTTACGGGGCCCCGGTGTGGGCGCGTGGTTTGGCGCGGCTTGCCGTCCACCACCTGAACGCGCCCCAAAGGGTGGTCGCCGTGAAAATGGTTCGCGGCTACCGCACGATCTCCCACGAGGCGGCGAGCCTCCTTGCCGGATTGCCGCCATGGGATCTGGAGGCGGTAGTCCTCGAACGCCTGCACGAATGGCGCGCGGAGGCACTATGCCGGGGGAAACCCCGCTGCCGCGGCAAGTTGTCGCGCAGCGGACAGACTTCCGGCACGATCTCATGGCGACATGGAGAGAGCGACTGTCGCAACCCCGTGCTGGGCACGCCACTATAGCGGCGATAAGACCCCTCTTTGAGGAGTGGCTTGAGAGACGCCACGGCATCCTCACCTTCCGCCTGACTCAGGTCCTCACCGGACACGGTGTGTTCGGGACGTTCCTGCACCGAATCGGGCGGGAGGAAACGCCCGGGTGCTCCCACTGCGAGGATGGACCGGAGGACACGGTGGAACACACCGTGGAGGTGTGCCCTGCTTGGGCGGAGCACCGCCGTGTCCTCGTAGCGGCGATAGGTGGCGGCGACCTCTCGCGTCCGGCCCTGGTCGAAGCCATGGTCCGGAGCGAGACGGAATGGGATGCCGTCACCACCTTCTGCGAAGCAGTGATGCTAGCGAAGGAGGTGGCGGAGCGGGAGAAGGAAAGAGCAGCAGCTTTCCTCCCCGGCCGCCGCGGGAGACGCCCCGGGCGTCGGGGGCTACGTCGTGGCCCCCGGCCACCGTAGGCGCGGGCCTGTGGACGGCGAGCAATGGGTAGCTCGTCGTCCGTCCGTCTAACGACGACAGGCCGTGTCGACGGCGCGTTTTGTTCCACGCGCGCCTCAAAGAGCTGTCAGCAGCGTGATGGGGCCCGCAAGGGCCGACGCCTGCCGGGGCTGCGGGCTATTCGAAAGAGATACCGCGGCTCCGGAACGTAAGGGCACTGAAGGAACACGGATGGTTTTTAGTCAGTAAAAGTCTGACACTCCCTTACGCTCCACCCAGAGCGAAAGGGGTCATTAGATGATTTTCCATCCGCAAAAAAAAAAAAAAAAAAAGGCTTTACGTGCTTTCCGCGGCACGGGTGAGACTCCGCTAACAACGATATAACGATATAAATAAATTAAAATAATGGTACGATTATAACTACGATACAACGCTTATCCTCTCCTTATCAATATTTTAAATTAGATCTATTAAATCTATTAAATCTAATCTTTTGTACGTGATAGAGCCATGCTGCAGTTATATTTGTAGTATAGTTGTAGAACGAATGGGTCGGCTCAACCGGGGAAGGACCACGTTCTCACATACTACCAGAATACCAGCGTAAAATAGTAGCTTAATGCTTAATGTAGTGAGTGTAGAGAGCTGGAGACCCTTTTTACTGGAAACAAGGCATTCCATCTTAGTCCTCACGGACTACATATCTGCATTTTGATTCTTAATCGAGGATAAATGTAGATGTGTAAGGGCCACAGTAACCATTTACCATTATATGGACTGTGTGCTCGTTTGTCACCCTATCCTATAAAAAATTTAAAAAAATATTTTGTCTGTTCGCATTTTATAACGTTTATCAGATTGTGTTGAAACTCTGTTAACTTAATTGTACCGACCAATTTTTAGAGAGATATACTCGTATATCTCTTAATTTCAATATATGTAATCATTCATTCCTTATTAAACAATATAACTTTTCCAAATTTGGAACGATGTTAAAAAATCATTACTTCTGCGGCAGCAACTTCGAACCAACTTGTAATTTTTTTTATTATTCCAAGTCAGCGCTTCACTACCATTCCACCTGATGGTAAGTAGGGATGTAGCCTAAGATGTTGAAGCGCACTGACATAACTTACTTGAAACTTACATTGAAAAAACTTAAAAAAGCCTATTCCCTCCTTCCTTGAAAACTCTTACACTGTAATTTGATGGAAAGACAGATACTTAGTTAATTAATAACATTTTTTTAATTTATTTAATTTCAGGTGGGCACGGCACTTCCGTCGGAGTAATAAACAGTTTTGTTCATGTTGTAATGTATTCTTATTATTTATTGACTGTAGCTTTTCCCAGCATCAAGAAATCACTGTGGTGGAAAAAATATATAACGGAGCTACAAATTGTAAGTGTAGATTTTTTTTGTTAATACATAATATTACTTTTGTGAACTTCAGAACCTCTGGATCATAAAAAAATGATGTGTAAGTAATACTATATTTAAGTATCTTATTGGTATTATTTGGTACCTAATATCTAATAAGGTATGTTGTAAATTATTGAGAAAAATTACGAAGAAATGGGTCAGTCATCGTCTGATGTCTGGGCCAAATTTGTTTCACCTCTTCCAAACATTCCAGCTAGTTTATCTCTTTTTCAAGATTTAGTAATTAATAGGCATTTGTACCTAGGTTTACAAATAATTAAGAGATTGACACTCTGGACTCCATAGTAACACTCTGGAGTGCACAGTCCCTCTGGTGACGTTTACGGTCGACTAAAAATGCAAACGCAGATGTTGATTTCAGTAAAAATTGTATCAGGTACCCTACACTCATCATACGAAATACGTCAGCATCATGCTGCTATTTTAGATTTATATCCTGTTAGCGCGTATCTCCCCAGTCTCACATAAGTAAAGCCGACCCGTTCATAAAAACCAAGGTGGTTTTAATAAAAAAAGCTAGTAATACCAGTTTCTCGACTGCACACGCTATTCTAACGCAAAAAATCGCAGAAAATATACAAGGTATCTCTATTACCAAATTTAATTATTTAATAAAACAAAAACTCCATAAAAAGGGTTATTATGATATAAACGAATACATGGTTGGAATAACTACTGGGAATGAGGTGATCGCTTCCAAGCTGTTTCTAAAATACATGTTGTAAATAGTTTGTAACCATATTGTCGTATTGTAATTCTTTTTAAATGCCCGCTGGGTTTCTTCCTGGTTCTTCCCAGAACAGAGGTTTTTTCCGAACCGGTGGTAAAGTAAACAATGACTTTCAATAAGATTTACACACGATCTATAATGAATAGAAAATTTAAAAAAGTCTGTACTGCGGTCATTATACCAGTCGTAGTTTGACCATACTAAGTAAATAAAAAATATAAACATTTTATTATACACAATTAAAGAGAATTGGGGTTTCCGATAAATAGCGGCCTCGTATTTAGGTTTTATATAATAGAAAATACTCCGAAATAAGGGAGAACAAGCATTTCACAATCAAGACGGGATTAAGGTTTGCAATAGAGGCGATTAATGTTGTAGGAGTATTTACAATCATCATCATAATAAGTCCACATATTCAGCTGAACATAGGCCTCCCCAAGCCCTGAGGCATCTGTATCCATCGAATTCCTGCATTTCTTTTCAGGTCGTCACTCCCTTTTGGTCGTAGTTAAAATGCGTGATAATAATTATTTATGTGTGCCACTAGCATAAGCAGTGGTGAGTGATCACAACAAGATTACCCTGCCAAAAAAAAAGCCGTTAGTCGATAGATGTAGGTGGCACAGGAATATACTTTGTAGCAATCTACGAGGAAAACATATGATCAGCAGTAAACTTGTGAGGGACTGATGTTAGTATATTTTTATGGATAAAAAATTTAGATTCCAACCACCATATTAACTGATTTTTAACAATTTAGAAATGCCCATCCCACCTTACGTATTCTTCAAATTTGTAACTGTTTATAAAATTTAACTCTCGCAGACAATCAATGATAATCAGTAAAATTACAAGGACCTATATCTCAAAACTTTTATATTATTTAGTTTTATTTTTTGTTTTCTGTGCCTTTAATAGACTTTAATATGATTTTTGTTTCTTCCCAGCTACAACTTGTTTTGAACACCATCCATATGAGTACTATCGTATTCAAGCCGGACTGTGAATATCCCAGGTGGACCGCTGCAATATTTCTCCCACAGAATATATTTATGCTCATGCTGTTTTTTGATTTTTATGTCAATGCTTATGTTAGAAAACCTAAACCTGTAGTCAGATCTCATGTTGTTGATGAGACGTGTGGCGTTAACGAAACTGTTAGAGAAAATAATGTCCAATATAAAAAGAAAATACAATAATTGAAACCTCTTTAAGGAAAAGAAATAATTTGGATCTGTGTAAGAAGTTATGCGATCATGACTTAGCAAATGTAAACTTAAAGAATTTTTATCTAATTTTATTTATACGTAATTTTATTGTTTGAGTGATATAAATGTAGAGGCTAGAAATTATTGTTTTATTTAATAGAAATAGATTTCTTTTTTATTCGATATAGATAATAAATAATACTTATGTGATGTAAGTTATCCTTATTTTTAATTCACTACTGTTTCGGAAAATACATTTGTTTCAGGAATTACCCCCAAAAAATTAAAAATAAAATAATATTATATTATGAGGGTGTTGTATAAGGTGACAAAAGGGAAATGAAACAAGAAAGAGGCAGCAGCACCCTCCTCATAATAATAAAGTACAAAAACTGTGGTTGCTCAGCCACCTGCCAAACGTGATAACTATGGAAAAAATTCCCCTAAGAGTCAATCAAGTCATGTGAGATAAGGCTATGTTCAGCTGTTGATAGGCACGAATAGATCATACAAAACGTGTCCCTTAAATGGTCGATCGAATATAGCGGTCATGAAAACGGGCAATGGTTTACCTGTTTTTATGACTAATCTCTCCAGTAAATTCATTGTTTTATTCCAAGAACGACTGAAGATAAATTAAGGTGAAAGTAAATTTTATTAATAGGCTGTGATACCTATAAAGTTCTTTGTTTCAATTTGATAACCCGTGTTGGTGGGCTGTAACTGGTCATTCTCTATAAGATTAACGGTTTGACGCGTTAGCTTACTTTAATATTGTATAAATTGAAAGAGAGAAATATCTTCTCTTTATTGAGGGTGTCAAAAGAGCGCACTTCAATTTCAACATATACAGTTGAGGACAGTTGGTTAGTTGATGAAACGAAAAAAAGATATATTTATTCTCTATTAAAATTAAAATTCAGAATTTCACCTCCGAGTACTAAGATTAATTTTCTTGTTTCCAGTAAAAATGGATCTCCTGTTCCCTACATCCATTATTCGAAGTACATTCCGTTTCATTCTATAAATAAATCAGGACAAGTACCCCCTTTTACTACAACTACAAAATAGCAGTTATATTAGCTTGGACTGCTGTGTTCCAGCCTGAAGAGTAGAAAAAAATCAGAATAAAAACAATACTGCGAGGTATTACATCTTACAATGCTAAGGACTTCTTTGTTTGAAGTTGGATGCCGCTTTTCACGGACTGTAGTAGCCATTTACCATTAGATGAACTGCAGATTCGTTTGTCACTTCTGTTTTATGAAAAAAGCTCTATTTTTTACGTTGTACTTCCCCGGTCGAGTCGACCGATTAGCGTTGCATCTATAACACATCTACAACGTGTTCTACAAATTACAAAATAAACTTAGGTATATCACGACCATCTGTATTGTGAAATTTTATGCACGTAAGAAAGTTCTACTTTGAAAAAGTTCTGCACCATTAGACAGGTCTATTTGTAAGAGCTATTTTGCAGAATGTTTTATGTTACTCATTCATGTGCCAGCCAGGTAGGCCAAGATTAATGTTTAATACGCCTGTCACAAGTGTTAGAATCTATTGTAACTTTTGGCTTTCATAAGCAAATGGCTAAAAATTTTATTAGGTGATTCATAAATTAGTAGTTTTACTATTGGACAATAATACTCCGTAATCGGAAGTACAACGTGACGTGTATCCCGTCAAAGTACTGTTTTTATAAAATAAAGGCGACAAACGAGTACACAGTCTATCGGATGTTAAATAGATGCTGTAGATACCTACATCTATTTTCGATTAAGAATGAAAACGTTGTCACCCCTGAAGACTAAGATACAATGCCTCTTTACCAGTGAAATAGGGTCAGAATAGAATCATCATAAAAACCATAGTAACATTAAGTTGCAATTTTACGCTGGTATTCTGTGACAGCGTAGTTCTTCATTGGTCGTGCCTAGTCATTCCTGCTGCAGCCCTAACTATACCTGCAGCGTGGCTTTAACATGTATAAAGTACTTAAAACAGCGGCGCTTGGACAAACGGAGATAACTGCAAAAGTATACTTTAGATGCAATGTCTCCTTTGAATAAAAAAATATCTTGAAGAATAAAACCCTAAGCAGCCCATCAAATAAGAGACTTTGGTATTCTTCTCAGGGTTCTGGAATCTGTAAATATTTGCCCATCTGCCATTGCGTTGTTTGATTTGTATCTTCGTGGTCGCTCACACTGTGTCCATCTTAATGACACTCATTCCGATTGGTCTGGTATCACTACGGGTGCACCTCAGGGTGGCGTTCTTTTTCCTCTTTCATTTTCCATATTTATTAACTCTATTACTTACAGCTTTATCGTCATTTTCCGGTGTGTGATATAAATAATGCAGACGCAGTCATGAGTGCGGATATGAGCCGCATTTGAGAATGGTCTGCATCCTTCGGACTATTAGTTAATTCCATGAAATCTAAGGCCATCATAATAGGCGGCAGGCATTTGCGGCATAAACTAGAATTTACATCACTACTTCTTGTTTGTTTTAGTAGCGTTCCTATACCCTTTGCCAATACTGTAAAAAGTTTAGGCGTCATATTTGATCACCGTTTATCATGGTCCAAGCATATCGCTTAGGTTAGTCGTAAGGTCCACTTTACCATGCATTTGCTTAAATGTCTACAAAATGTCTTACCCCTAAAAGCTGAAATATCAAACGTGCGTACTTTTGCCCTACCTTTCCTTGATTATGCGGATGCCTTTTATTTGGATGCCACAGAGGAGCTTCTTAATACACTTGAGTGCTTGCAAAATCAGTGTATCCGTTTCATATTTGGGCTCAAGAAATTTGACCAAATAATTCATTTTCGGTAGCAACTCCAGTGGCTCCCAATTCGACTTCGAAGGAACACTCGATTGTTATGTATCCTCTATAACATCTTGCACAACTCTTCCTCTCCCACATACCTCAGAAGCCGATTTTCCACCGATCCTCCGGATAAACCGTGCAGATCCCTTGTTTAAACTCTTCTTAAGTTTCGCGTCTATAATTCCGGTTTTTACTCCTATCCTTTTCTGTTCACGCGGTAAGGTTATGGAACTCACTACCGTCTAATATAAGAAATTCGGAAACTTTATTGGTATTTAAGAAACGTCTTAGAGATAACCTCTTTGCATCCTGTTCATTATTCTATTATATTAGTATTAGTTTATATACATCATAATATGTAACTATCGTATTTATTATTTTTATGTATTAATTTATTTTATTTTATTTATAGTATTATTTTATACGTAACATTTTGTATATTATTTAATCATTAGTAGTAGTAATGTACCCACTAAGTTTGCCATTTTCATATATTTACCTTTATGGGTCTACTGGAAGATATTTCAGCAAATTATGGAATAAGTATAACCTTTGTACGAAATTACTATAACACAGTTCCTGTATCTTGTGTCCAAAAATCTACTACTGCATATTGGACTCTGCTTTGATATTTTGCCATAGTTGCCACGTTAAGCAGGTAATTTGGCTTTCAAATTTTCTTATTATTTTGGGTTGTTATTATGATAGCGTCGTCATCACTACAGTCCTTCACAATTCCACGGATGAACATAGGTCTCCCTGAAAGAATGCTTTGTCCTCCTAATGCTTCAGACTTACACAACCGGGATTACCTGAAGGAAACTAGTAACGATGTCAATTACTTAGCAGAAGGCTCTCTAACCAATGAACAAAGACATATATATTATAAAATACTTCCCAATATCTACACAGGTGTAGCTGTTTTTTTTTTTGGATGCTCCTGGTGGAACAGGCAAGACACTTCTATTAAATTTACTGTTGGTCAAAGCGAAAGGCAATCGTGATATCGCCTTAGGGGTCGCATCGTCCAGAATTCCTGCCACTCTGTTGGAAGTCTGCACCCGCTGACTTCCTGCATCTCTTACCAAGTCGATATTCCATCTCGCTCTACAGTACGCTACTACCGATACGAGGCTGCCACTGGAAAAACTTTTTTCCCCAAAATATCAGGCTAACAATAATAACTAGTTAAGAATGACCATTGAATATAATCACTGGTAACGTGGCTTTCCGTTTTAGCCCACAAGGGTGTTAATACAACTGTGTTTAGGAAAATTTAATACTATGGCACATCGATCTGTCGCAATCTAAGAGCCAGCTTTAGCTTTAGTAACATATTGACAAGAGCCGTGTTGCAACAGTCTGTGGAAACAAAACAAAGTTTAAAAAGAAGAGAATTTATACGGGGAAGTCTTTGATCTTAACTGAAGGCTTTAGAGGATAAAAATCCTCAATATCTCATATATTGAGACAACAGATCCTTCACAAATTAAAATAATTCCAAACCGCCAGCTGTCGGCGGACAGTTTTAATAATCTTAATCGAGATTAGATGTTTTATACCTGGTAGTGCCAAGCTGCAGCTATATTATAGTTGTAGAAGGAATAGATCAGCTCGATCGGAAAGGAAAGCGTGAAAAAGCAAGCTTATTTTTAATAGAACATGGGTGAAAAACGAGCAAACAGTCCACCTGATTGTAAGGGAATGCTTTGGCCCATAGACATCCACATCTATCCTGGATTAAAAATAAAAAATGCAATTCTGCGGAGTTTCGTATGGTAAGTTGAAAGAAGCGGTGATTCTTTTAACCGGAAGCCTAGCATTCTAAATTAATTCTCAGGAGTAACAGCGTATCTGCATTTTTTATTTTTTATCCAGGATAGATATACCAGGATAGATATACATATACCAGGATAGATAGACTATAGACTGACTGTTTGCTCGTTTTTCACCCATGTTCTATTAAAAAATGTTTAATAAAGCATCAGAGGGATTGTTATCAACTATCTATAAGACTATGGCTAAAGTACTAAAGCGATGCTGAATTTTCAGATGCCTTTAAAACTCGCACTGTGTGTATCACTTTATATAAAAGTACACTACGAGACTTAACCACATATTAAAATTAAGTATTCGGTCATTTATAGCGA